CCTGATTTAAGTTACCATCTGGACACGGGGAGATCCCCACAGGAAATCTGGGACCACCTTGTCCGGTTTATGCGGGCTTAATCGTGTTTCAGACTGCACCCCCAGCTTCCCGTCAACGCCCCAATTGGCAGTCCACTCACATTCTGATCCAATTTTTTATGTCCCATTTCTGTCGCTCGTGTTAGAAAAGACTTTTTGCTTTTTTTTTTGAATTTCTGCGTAATTTTATATGGCCTTCTCTTGGATTTTAGAGCCCTTTATGTTACCCTTCCTTCACTGATCTGATACGATTCCTTCCATGAATCACTGCTTCCCATCTGAATGGTCCAATACCGGATCCATTGGACGTGACAAGTGGTCAGAGTGTTCTCGGAAACGAAAATTAATGACTCTGATCCCACCGGTACCATCGGCGTACACAGCGGGAGTTCATAGAAATGCCTGATTGATTCGCTTCGGTCCAATGCGAACCAAGTGAATGGCAATTTTGTTCGAAATGTACACACATTGATATGACCGTGAGCATAACGATCGCAATTGAAACGCAGGAATGAGCCATTTCGGTATGATTCGGGATGGTGCCGTCCCTGGAACTACATACTGGTTACGGTATCTATGAACAACTGATCCGAGGTTAGCCTCATTTCCATGATTTAAGGGGAGCTGCAAAATTTCGATCTGAACATTTTAATTGCTTTCTGAATATAGTACACTGCTGCGTTCATCTTTTTAGGTCCGGAAATGGACGACCCAAAAAAGCGGAGGAAAGGGGTGAAGTACGGTGGAAAAACGGTCTCCAGTCCACCGATGACAAACCTTTCTGTGTTGTCGTTGGAACACAAACCACTGAAAGTTCATACTTTCATCAAATTCAGCCAACTCAAGGCGTTCTTGACGATAAATTTCTGTAAAATGGCGTCAAACCGAAGGCTATAATAACCATATTTTACCTTTGGAATGGACTTCAACCTCGCAATGCGAACCGATGCTACTAAGCTCCTACAAACCGCTACACATGGTGTATTTTGGTCTCAAGCTGAGTTACATAGTAATAACTAATTTACCTAGTCCGCTTCAGGACGATGGCTTTCAGAAAGGACGAAATCAGACCGCTGTATATAAAACGAATTCGGACTATCGCAGAAAAACTTCTCTACCGTTTCCAAGAGGGAGATTGATCTTGAACTTGATCCTCTTCTAGCATGATCAACTGATTTTAAAAAAGTGATCGGCTTTAAGAGAGAATATGAAGAAACTGTGCGACCTTGTCCTCCCGAATTCGATTAACCAGAAGGTAATAAGTTGAAAATAGTAAATCGTAACTATTTGAACCGTGACGTTTTGTCAAGGATCTTCCTAGGATTGCTACAAGGGAGTTCCTATGAACATTTGGGGTCCCGAGAAAAGTGAGCACATGGCGCAATCTTAAGGGGTCGATCCTTTACGTTCTGAACGGCTCCTCTGTCTAAAGTGTGATTTCATACTACTGGAAGCTTATTTCCATAGAGCCGATGCTGAACCCAGCTGAAATGTGAACGGTCCATTCAGCTCAAGCCAATCGGATCGTGCATGTGATAGCAGCGCCTCTTGCTGCGTCTCTTTACCCTCCAAATCAAAATTAATGCATTTGATAAGAAAAATTAGGTAACCAATGACTTCAGCAGGATTTCACCTTCAACGGGAATCGTTTGTTGAAGTAACTTAGTAATACTACGTGATAAACCCCTGATCTTCTACCCTTTAGTTCTGCAATCATCTTGGTGAGAAATCCATTCAACCCAGCAATTTCAACGCCTGAATCAGGTCCCTGAATCATGCCAAGCATCCTCATAGATATTTTGACATTCCAATGGTGACAAAAAAGGCAGGAAGAGGGCGGAACGCAAATCGATGCTACTGTGGTGTTGTTGATGTTCAACTGAACCACCGATTGGCATCAATGGCAGCGAATTCCAATCACATTGGGAAAGAGGATTATAACAAAAAGTATATAGGCGTAGAGAAATATAGAAAAGCTCCAACCAAGTAACAGATTATCAGTAGTTTACCCTGAATTGATCTTCTGATTTCATGATTGAATAAAGTGGAAGGGTGACCTTTAAAATTTCCCAAACTGAACCATGTTAATAAGCCCCGAAAACACTTATGGTAGTAAAACAGCGACCCCTTCCAGGGAGAAGGTACAAGCCAGAAGATAATTTGGGTGCTCGCGAAGCTGTGAATCAATGATGGGACCCAATTACCTCTTGAGTTTCGAAAAGCTTAGAAGACCCCAGTGGGTCCCTTCTCGTATTGGACGAAATTCTGGAACATTCTGTGCATGTCCCTAAGGTGAATTGTAAAGGGTAAATGTGCTTCAGCTAGATCGCTAGTTTTCTCCTTCACCGTCGTCTTTTTAATGTAAAGAACTGGAGCGGTAAGTGGAACTTAAAGACCTGGGTTAGAGACGAACCTACCAGGCCTTGATCCGTGACCCTTCCGCTAACCTGTTTAGAAGGGCGCCCACTTACCCTATTACCATGGTGAATTTAATCCTCATCTCAGTTTTCATCAACTTTTCTGTACTTCGAGTGACAAAACAAACCTCCGTGTAATGCTCTTTTGCCCAGAATCCACTACCATTCCATTACGAGGGCACTGCGGTAGTAGACGTAAGTGGATAGCGCTCTTTTGTAAGAAATGACACATATGGAGGCCATCAAACGATAATAAAAAACACCATTCAAACATGGACGAGACCGTCCCATCCCGAAGGTTTTTACGGATGTTCAGCCACGAGTACAAGGTCGACACGAGCGGCCGCAATAAAGCACTCCCCTCAATGATTCATGACAAGCAGATATCAGACCGAGGTTTCGGATCGCAAACGTTTACAAAACCTTTCCCATCTCAGAAAAATCGGGCTTTAAAGTCCTTGCAATGGACTGTACATTATATTCCATCCAAAGACTTTACTGGTAGTGGATAGACCCCTTTTGAGACCTTCCTAGCTATGCCTACGTCTAAGGGATGGATCTAAAGCTATGATTCAGCCGCATGCGCCTTTTAACGGTCAGCCTGGACCCCCGGATAAACCGCAAAGTCTTTGTTCGAGGGCGGTTAGACCAAGGACAAACTGATTACTGGTTGGTGACAGATTTCCCTCAATTGCTGTTGTTCCCCTTTAGCAGACGATTCTATGGAGTCCATTATGCAATGCGGCGGCGGCGTCAACGACCAACAGTTGACGCCAGTCGGAAATGCTTGAAAAAAG